TCTCTTGATAACTCTCACGAGTTGCGTTCTCTTGATAACTCTCGCGAGTTGCGTTCTCTTGATAACTCTCACGAGTTGCGTTCTCTTGATAACTCTCGCGAGTTGCGTTTGCGCCACGTTTCACGTCAAACCTTGGCACTAGCCCTTGTCCACATGCAGAGTGTTGGCAAGAATAGTCATCGATAGTTCTATTGCTAAGCTATGTACATCTTGTAATTGTATGCTCCAGCTCAGGCTCATTATCCGCCTAGAGCTCTAGACATATCTGCTCCCACTGACCTTCCATCGTCCGCTTTATCACCAGGCTGTGTTATGAGAAGCTCTGCTCTCATGTGCAAGCATTGATACCTTCTCGACAATTTCCCTGACACAACAACACAATCAGTTGGTTCGCCCTGTGTGTATGCGCTGATATCTACCCGACAAATTTCAGTAGTGATGGGTTGGTCTTGACCCAGAACGGGAGCCCTATTGATATACTCTAGCTGTTTCAGACCGGGAGACAACACATTGTAGGCGTATGTAGCTGTTCACTGGCGCCCTCTGTCTCAGAGCTGATGTCACACCACAGAGCGGTAGGACCTTATCTACAGGATTTCCCCGCACATTCCAAGAGAATCTGTGCCTTGTGAAATACAAGAGAGGGACCCCAAGATACAAGATACAAGATACAAGAGGGCGTTACTGTACACTTATGAGTGACAAAGTGTAGATTAGTATGACTGTACCATAGATATCATATAACAACATTATTGTTATATGATATCTATGGACTGTACTCTGTAAATAACAGTAACACAGTGCTATGTATTCGTTAGTCTGTGCCCGTGTTAACAAAACTTCTAGTGAAATACTTGATTCAATTGTCTTTGAAACTTTTTAAAGTTGATTACAACAACAACGAAAAATAGATGGAATTGTTTACTGTATTTATTATTCCATAGACCGTACGTCTTGCGTTGAGTCTGACATGCCAAACAGCCAGCAAGGTTTAATAAGAAAAATATAAACAAAAGAAAAATAGATATATAACGAAAATCTCCATTTTTCTCTGTGAGTAATTCGACATGCCATTTCTCTTGATAACTCTCACGAGTTGCGTTCTCTTGATAACTCTCACGAGTTGCGTTCTCTTGATAACTCTCACGAGTTGCGTTCTCTTGATAACTCTCACGAGTTGCGTTCTCTTGATAACTCTCTTACGAGATTTTTTGGCCGTTCCTTCTTTGATACTCCCTCTCCACGAGGTTGCGCGTTCTCGGTTTTGATAAGCTTCACGCGTTGCCGTTCCTGCTTTGATAACTCCTCGACGAGTTGTTGGCGTTCTCCGTAAGTGATGGACTCTCGCGAGTTGCTGTTCTCCTTGACTAACTCGCGTGCGATTGCCGGTTCTTCCTGGGTTTGATAACCTTCTCCTGGCGCGAGTTTTGCCGTTCTCTTGCATTTAACTCTCGCGAGTTTGTCCGTTCTCTTGTAACTCCATCCGCGAGTTGCGTTACTCTTTCTCTGAATAACTCCTTCGCGAGTTGCCGTTCTCTTTGATAACTCTCCCTGCTGGCGAGTTGGGCGGTTCCTCGTTGATAAAGCTCTCTCTCGGCGAGTGTGCGCGTTCTCTGGTTGATACATAACTCTCAGCGAAAGTTGGCGTTCTCTTGATAACTTCTCTAGCGAGTGCGTTCTCTTGATAACCTCCTTACGAGTTGGCGTTCTCTTGAATAACTCTCGCGAGTTGCGTTCCTCTTGTAGTAAGCTCTCACGAGCTTTGCCGGTTCTCTTTGAAATAACTCTCCCGAGGGTTGCCCGTTCCTCGTTGATAACTCTCACGAGGTTGCGTTCTCTTTGCATAACCTCCTCAACGAGTTGCGTTTCGTTTGTTGAATAACTCCTCGTTGGAATAGGGGGAAAACGGAAAACCCCCCGGTGTTGCCGGGGGGGGGGGTCGGGGGGGGGTGAGTTGCGTTCTCTTGACATAGACTCTTCCACGCCCAGTTTGGCCTCCGTTCCTCTTGCCTAACTCCTCACGAAGTTGCGCGTTTCTCTTGGAGATAAACCTCCTTCAATACGAGGTTTGCGGGTTCCTCGTTGGATACTCCGCGAGTTTGGTCGCGTTTTGGCCGGGGCGCCACGAGTTCCTCGAAACGTCAATAAACCGCTTTGGCCTTATTAGCCCTGTCCCCACAATATGTACGAGTGTTGGCAAAGAGAATATGTCCATCGATAGTTTTTCTATTGCTAAGTCCTTATGTACAAATCTTGGTAATTTTGTCATGCCTCCAGGCTCAAGGCTTAATTAATCCCGCCCTAGAGCTCTAGACCAATATCCTGCGTCGCCACTTTGAAAACCTTCCATTCGTCCGCTTTTAATCACCAAGGCTGTTGTTAATGTAAGAAGCTACCTGGGCCTCGCTCCATGTGCTAAAGCATTGGATCCTTCTCGACAATTTCCCTGACACACAACACAATCAGTTGGTTCGCGCTGTTGGGTGTAAATGCGCTGAATATCTACCCGAACATCACACCAATTTCAAGTAGTGATGGGTTGGTTCCTTGACCCGCAGAAACGGGGTAGCCCCGCTATTGATAGTACTCTAGCTGGGGTTTAGACCGGTGATGCACAACAAACATTGGTAGGCCGTTAAATGTTAGCTTGTTCACTGGCGCCCTCTGTCTCAGAGCTGATGTCACACCACAGAGCGGTAGGTGTATGTAGCTGTACACTGGCGCCCCCTACCTCAGAGCTGATGTCACACCACAGAGCAGTAGGCGTATGTAGCTGTACACTGGCGCCCTCTGTCTTAGAGCTGATGTCACACCACAGAGCGGTAGGCGTATGTAGCTGTACACTAGCGCCCTCTGTCTTAGAGCTGATGTCACACCACAGAGCGGTAGGCGTATGTAGCTGTACACTGGCGCCCTCTACCTCAGAGCTGATGTCACACCACAGAGCGGTAGGTGCACGCGTACATCACCCACACAGCGCACACGTCCTCTGGGTAGGAGAACACTCGAACTCTGATGGCCAGCCTGACGTGGTCACCGCGGCAACTGACCACCTCCTGGCACTTCTCAGCCCTGAAACGACGAAAGACTGGTTACGATACGATCTTTTCCCTCGCCTGTGATCATGAGTCATGTCCGCCATTAAAGCACGCTATGAATTTTTCAAAAGTAATTTCCGCCACACGGTATAGTCACTATAAAAAAAATAACATTCAAAATATAAAGTGAAAAGACAACGAGAATTCTACTCTGAAAAAAAACTTGGCGTGTTCGTCACGTTTTGGCGAAGAAGAGAGTAGCCAGCCGTACATACTTGAGCGAATTCGCATATATGCGACGGGCATTCCTGTGCATGAACTGAATCGGAAAGCCCTTGAAGACGTGACCTTCGGGGACGGCTCCTCTGATCGCATGCTGGAACTCCTCGTTCCCAGCCGTCACGCCTGAAAGTAGCAAGCACGTCAACATTAAGGAAATTATCCTCCCTCCCCCTACACGCATCATCAAGACAGATGGTTACTTCGCGAGTGCTACGCGATACGTCGCCCACACATTAACACGTCGCCACTACACTACAGACACTGCTGTAGTGTATATATATCGTAGTGTGGAATATATATACAGCGGAACCCCGATTTTACGCGCCCCGATTTAACGTGAATTCGGATATAATGCGATGAGTCGTTGGCCCCTCTTTTTTTGGCTATTATATAGCCACGTATATATAACCCCGGTTTAGTGCGACCCCGCTTTTTTCGCGATGACATTTTATGGACCCCAACCATCGCGTTATAACGGGGCTACACTGTATATAATATAGTATATATCTGTAGTGTAGAATATCGGGCCAGCCTGCTGCGAAAACCTAGAATCGGCAGACCGGACGTAGACGAGAGCGCGCCAGGGAAAAAATAATAAAATTTATTTTTCGGGGGGCTACTTTTCAAGCTCGCGTGCATGAAAATAGCACTCTAAAAATTGGTTTGCATTGAACTTTATGCAAATTTACGGGGGCTATTTTTGGCATTTCGGGGTCTAAATCGCCCCGAGCCCCCGCATATTTTTCCCACTGGAGAACGCGCCGTACCTGTGGATCGCTCCATCTCGTAGGCTGCCAATGCAGGAGTGAGAAGGTAGCTGAGCTGTGTATCCCAGTGCGTCGACAGACCCTGGTCCTGTGCAACAGCGAGCGAGCACTTGAGAGTCAACCTCGCGCGTATCGCACGCGCTGAACTACGTCGCCACGCAGCCACTCGTGTAACACTCGCTAGACACCGCAGTAGCTCTTGTGATGCATCTGACATCTCAGCTATCATGACAGTTATGCAGAGATGCCAACACATATTTGAAGCAATCTGTAGTTTCTGGCCATCAGATTAGTAGTTCGAGGGTCACATAGTGACCTGAGTTTGCTAGGGGGGTCCGGCATGCCCCCCGGAAAAAATTTTGATTCTGAGATGCAATTTCCTGCATTCTGAGGGTCAAAAATGACAATAAATAGACAAAAAATGACAATAATTGACTTTTTTTTTC